ATCCCAGGGTCCTGGGATCGAGCCCCGCATCGGGCTCCCTGCTCAGCCGGGAGTCTGCTTCTCCCTCTGCCCCTCACCCAACTCTTGTGCTCTCTCTCACTCTCTCTCTCAAATAAATAAAATCTTAAAAAAAAGGAAAGCATCACCCATGAGCATAAAGCATTGGAATAGCAAAGTCTTAAGTAGGAGAATGTTAACTTAGGGGGATTCCCAAACCCAAGGATTTCGCTTTAAAAAAGTGTCAATAATAGGCATATACAAGTGATTGTACTATATTTAACCTCAACACAGTCTCCTGTGTTCTAAGTAAAAATAAGTGGACATTTAACCAGTGTTTTTTGGGGTTTCCAGGTCTGCCCTTCTAGTGACAAGTATTTGCTAAGCTATATACTTTAGCATGTGTAAGTGGAAAGATTTGGAAGGAAATGGCTATTTCACTTACAAGCTAAGCTACATTGAATTTTAGAGAATCTTAGGGTTAAGATTATTTTTTGCCCTCCTTCTGAGGAACCCAAGTGGGTTTTATCCTGCAAGCTTTTCTGCATATTCTCTCTCCTCAGATGGCCCTCCATCTGAGAGTTGTAGATAAAGACTGTTAGGATAGCTGAGACAATATGGCTAGTCTTTCCTCTCCGTACTTTTTATTGCTAAGGTATAATCTCTAAGGTAGAGTACCCACAGATAACATTAGCTCTTTAAGGAGCTATCTTTTTAAACCTATTTTGGTCTGTGTATGTTCTCTCTCTATTGAGACAATGATGTTAAGACTATTCTTAAGGAGTAGGGATTATTATATTATCTTATTTAGAAACAGATAAGATACCATTTTATTGGAAAGCATATGTTATTATGTAAAATCATTTAGTTTGACCCTTTAACATCTCTGAACCACAATTTTTGTATCTGTAAAAGGAAGATCATAATGTCTAATATACTGGATACTTATAAAGATGAAATTGTCTGTGATAAACATAAAACTACCTTGCATGATTTCTTTTTCCTCATCTGTTTCCTACTAATTGATTTATTTATTTACTCAGTGAACATGGAGACCCATAGTTGAATAAAATGTGATCTTGCTCTAGGAAACAAATAATTTCAATACAGTGAGGTAAGTGTTATAATACAAATATGCACAGGGTACTGTGAGAACACAGAGCTGAGGCATCTTACCTCTAACCCCTGCTCTTGGTAGCAGGGTTAAGAGAATGCTCTCTAAAAGAAGTTACGCCTAGCCAAGAATGAGCAAGGATTAGTGAAGCAGTCAATATGACATTCCAGGCAGGGCGTTCCAGGTAGAAAAGAACAGTCTATGCAAATGTATGAAGGCATGACACAATGGTTTGCTGGAACCTACAAGTATACTTGTTAAAGTTTAAGATGTGAGCTAATATTTCTCAAGGAGGGCATTGATTTTTTTTTTTTTTTTTTAAAGATTTTATTTATTTGAGACAGAGAGAATGAGAGACAGCATGAGAGGGAGGAGGGTCAGAAGGAGAAGCAGACTCCCTGCCGAGCAGGGAGCCTGATGCGGGACTCGATCCTGGGACTCCAGGATCATGACCTGAGCCGAAGGCAGTTGCTTAACCAACTGAGCCACCCAGGCACCTGAGGGCGTTGATTTTTATCCTCAGGAGCATAGACTTTATTTTTTTAGGTGTGTGTGTGTGTGTGTGTGTGTGTGTGTGTGTGTGTGTGTGTTGGACATTAAAGGATTGGCATTTTAAATGGATTAGTTGTTGTTTTTAACAATTCAAAAGTCGAAGAGTATAATGAATCCCTTCTTATTTACCTATCATCCAGCATCATCTATTATCAACTCATGGTCAATCTTGTTTCATCTTTACTTTCACCTCCTCCCCACTCCACACATAATTTCTGAAACAAATCCTAGATATATTATTTCATCTGTAAGTATTTCAGTGTGTATCTCTTTTTTTTTTTTTAAAGATTTTATTTATTTGAGAGAGAGAGAGCACATGAGAGGGGGGAGGGTCAGAGGGAGAAGCAGACCCCCTGCTGAGCAAGGAGCCCGACATGGGACTCGATCCGGGGACTCCAGGATCATGACCTGAGCCGAAGGCAGTCGCTTAACCAACTGAGCCACCCAGGCGCCCCTCAGTGTGTATCTCTTAAAGGTACTTTTTCTTTTCTTGAAACGTAAGCAGTTAGATGGACAATTCAGATAGCATCTTGGAAGATCCATTTGTGGAAGGCAGTACTACAGAACATGATGAGGCTGAGAAGAGAGAAGAAAGGGATGGTTTAGAGGCTTAGGAGGTAAAATTAGCAAGATTTGGTGATAGAGTGAAGAGTTGATGATTACTGTTAGGTTTCTAATTTGGTTGACAAGGCAGATGCCAGTATCATCAACAAGGGCAAAATAATAACGTAGCCAGAAGAGGAAGGTTCTTTGTGGGGGTAGACAAATGAGATTTGGAGTACTTCTGTATAAGCAAATCCTACAAATCCTGTAAAAAGTTGGATATATCCTTCCAGAATTTAGAAATAATGAGAGCTGGAGACTAAGAGTCTACATTATCAGCAAACATATAGTAGTTAACACTACCCCCAAGCTCAAAGAACAGGTAGAAAATGAAAAGAAGAGGGCTAAGGATGAATTTTATAGATGAGTAAGATTTTAGGGATAGACTCAGGAAGATCGGCCCATAAACAGTGCTGAGAAAAGATAACTGGAGACAGAGAAGAAACAGAAGAGAGGAAAAGAATTTCCATAAGGAAGGGCCAAATGAGTCGGCAATCCAATGAAGTAGGAATAGAACCTGTCCAGTAATTAGGAAATCATGGTAGCGTTTGCAAGAATAGTTTCAGTGGAACAATATGAATGTGCAGATAATAGAGGACGTTAAGGAATGAATGGGAAGTGACATGGAGATAGCCAATATAGACAGATTTTTTTTAAAGAATTTTGAATGAGAAGGGAAGAAGAAAAGGTAGTAACTCAAGTGAAATCCAGGGTCAGGGAGGATTTTTATTTTTAAGAGTGAAAGAGACTTGGGAATGTTTATAGTTCAAGAGGAAGGAACCAAAGAAGGAAAGGAGTGGAAGTGCATAGGGACCTGGAGGAGGTAGAAGGGGATGTGGTCTAGAGCACAAGTGGACAAAAATAAGCATATTCCCTGGTATTTATTCTGAGGAACAAAAAAATCAGTAGTGGGGGGCGCCTGGGTGGCTCAGTCATTAAGCGTCTGCCTTCGGCTTGGGTCGTGATCCCAGGGCCCTGGGATCGAGCCCCGCATCAGGCTCCCTGCTTGGCGGGAAGCCTGCTTCTCCCTCTCCCACTCCCCCTGCTTGTGTTCCCTCTCTCGCTGTGTCTCTCTCTGTCAAATAAATAAAATCTTTAAAAAAAAAATCAGTAATGGGGCAGATGTATTCATACAAAGATATATTTTCATTATAGTGTTACTTAAAATAATGAGAAACTGGGACGCCTGGGTGGCTCAGTCGGTTAAGCATCTGCCTTTGGCTCAGATCATGATCCCAGGGTCCTGGGATCGAGTCCCGCATTGGGCTCCCTGCTCAGCGGGGAGCCTGCTTCTCCCTCTGCCTGCCACTCCCACTGCTTGTGCGTGCTCTCTCTGACAAATAAATAAGATCTTTAAAAAAAAAAATGAGAAACTGGGGGAGTAATTTAAGTGTCCAACATGAATGGATTAGTTACATAAAATGTGCACCAATTCTGTGAAGTACCATGCAGACATTAAAAAATAATGTTGTGGAATAACATTTGTTGGTCTAAAATGCAGTCTAATAAATTGCTACATTATTTATCTATTTTTGTGTAACAATATTACCATAAACTTGGTAGCTTAAAGCAAGTCATTAGTTCACAGTTTCTGTAGGTCAGAATGTGGCTTAGCTGGGTCTTCTGCTTCAGGTATCATAAGACTGCAATCAGTTGTCACCTGGATCTGCAGTCTCATCTGAGGCTTGACTTGGGATGGACTTACTTTCAAACTCAGGTGGTTGTTGGCAGCTTTCAGTTTTCTATGGGCTGTTAGACTGAGGGCCTGAATGTTTAGCTGGTTATTGGCAAAAAAAAAACTACCCTTGACTCCTTGTCATGTGGGCCTTCCCAAAATGACTGCCTGCTACGTCAAAGCCACCAAGGGAGAGTCTTCTAGTAAGATCGGTTACTTTCTTATGTAATGTTATAGAAGTGACAGCTCCCTGTCCTTGCCATATTCTCTTGGCTAGAAGCAAGTTATAGATCTGCTCACACCCAAGGAGAGGGGGATTCCTTAAGGTATGAAGACCTGGAAACTGGGATCATGGGAACAGACAATGTGTCTGTCCATCACTGTTGCAAAGAAAAAAGTTAGCTATAGGGTGACATAATAATAGGGAATAAATACATTGCATATAGTTAGAAAAACAAAGGTATAATGGCATATACCAACAGCAATACTAGTTGTCTTTCAGGGTGGTATTTTGGGGTGTTTTTATTTCTGTTTCTGCTTTTTCTAACTTTTTTACAAAGAGTTTATACAATTTTACGATTTCTTTAAAAGTTATTTGAAAAATAGAACTTCAGGAGGATTATAATACTAGTGGTATTGAATTAAGGAATTAGTATTTTGGATGATTTTTCCTTTTTTCTAACTTTTCTATTATGTTAATTATTTTAGTACCTTTCCTGAATATAATTTATGTGCCATAAAAAGTTCACAGTTCTGAGTTTTAGTAAACTTGTACCACTGTGCAGTCACATAGGAATCCAGTGTAAAACACAAATTACTTTTGTAATTTAAAAGATTATGAAGAAGGAGGCTTATGGAAGAGTTGGTTATTCACATGAGGAGAGGACTTTATCCTCTGAGACCTGGAGTGGGGCGGGGGGGAGCAGGCATACTTGACAGGTTAAATGAGGGTGGTAATAATCAACCCAGGTGCATATTTTTATGTTATGCTCATTACTGGGAAAGTTGGAGATGTGGATGATTAGTGTAATCTGTGGTAAAGAGCCAAGGGTTCTCTTTTGAGGGAAGTTTTGTTCATTTGTGAGTATTCTTTAGCATATCTGGTGGTAATTATGGCAACTGTGGGAACCAGGAGACGATGAAGAAGTCCAAGCTGTGTGAATAAGATGTGCTTTCTTCTTCTATTTACCAGGGCTTCCCTTAAGGGTCTGCAGTCATGATAATAGAAAACTGATAGGTGTAGAACTCTGAACCGTTGTTGGTTGGTGACCACAGTACCTTTGTAGACTGTGTTTGTGTGCATGTGCATGTGTGATGTAGGTCAGCAATTAATGTAACTTTTTTTTTCTGTACCCAGGGCTACAGAACTTCAGAAAAGACTAAACCACAGTAGAAAAGTTAGATGGATTTGACTATATAAAAATTTTTATTTAGCAAATAAAAAAAAGAAAGAAAAGTTAAAGACAAATAGTAATCTGGAAAAACATTTTGCAGCAAAGAGTGTCTACCTATAATAGAGAAAATGACACCCTTCAGTAGAAAACGAACCAAGAACATGAACTAGGTAGTTAATAAAAGAATGAAAAAGGAACAATAAACACATGAGAAGAAATTTGATACTAATGGTAATCAAAGAAATGCAAACCAAAACAGTAGTCGATTGGGATTTTTTAGTTTATAAGACTGGTAAAATTTAAAAGAGTGATAAGGGGCACCTGGGTGGCTCAGTCAGTTAAGTGTCTGCCTTGGGCTCAGGTCGTGATCCCAGGAGCCTGGATCGAGCCCCGCGTCGGGCTCCCTGCTCAGTGGGGAGCCTGCTTCTCCCTCTCCCTCTCCCTCTGCCCACTCTTGCTCTCTCTTGCTCACTCTCTCAAATAAATAAATAAAATCTTAAAAAAAATAAATGAGTGATAATATCTAATTTAGATTAGAGTACAGATAATTTGTCATCCATGTTGCTGATGAGAGTCTAATGTGATTCAATCTTTGAAAATGTGGAAACCTTATAAGCTTCTTGGCCTTTTGGCTAAGATCAAGTGAAAATGTGGAAACCTTTTTTTTTTTTTTTTTTAAGATTCTTATTTATTTGACAGAGAGACCCAGCGATAGCAGGAATACAGGCAGGGGGAGTGGGAGAGGGAGAAGCGGGCTTCCCGCTGAGCAGGGATCCTGATGTGGGGCTCGATCCCAGGACCCCCGGGATCATGACCTGAGCCGAAGGCAGACGCTTAACGACTGAGCCACCCAGGTGCCCCCGGTGGAAACCTTTTGACCTAGTACTTGTACTTCTAGGAATGTATCCTGTGGGTATAATTAGACAGTAGTAAAAGGATATTCATCATTGCATTATTTTAATATTTTCCAAATTATTAATGACCCATATGTCCAACAATAAGTTAGTGGTTAAATGAATTATGGACTATTGTGACATTATGGAATAGTAGACATCCATTGAAATATCAAGTATATATTAAATATATCTAAAATGTTAAATATATATATTATCAAGTATACCTTTTTTGTCATGTATGGGAAGATACCCACAATATATTGTTAGACTGGTTAACAGTTTTTGGTTTCTAGTACAACAAAGCATGAACTGATTATCTTTGAGTGGTGGGAAAATGAGTGATTTTAGCTGTTAAAAAATAGCATTACATCCTGATATATTACCTTTTTTTTTTTTTTTTTTGTAATTAACATGCTCTCCCTTTTATTGTCAAAGAGAACAATAAACCTGTCTTTCTTTTGAACAAACTTTAGGCCTTTGTATCTTACTTTGAAATTTTTTTTTAGAAGGACATGAAACCTTTAAAAATTAAGAACAAGGTAGAAGAAGCATTAATAAATATGGTAGAGATGGACCTTGAGCAAGTTACTTGACTGCTCCAAGCCAATTTCCTGTAAACTAGGTGCCAATAATACCTGTCACTTGTAGGAATTTTGAGTTATTACATAATATATGTAAACTGCTTAGTATAGTCACTGTGTCCTTAGCTGCTCTTCTACAGTTGCTGCCAGAATAGGAAGAGAGAGACATCGGGGGACCCTGGGCAAAAAAAATGTAGGGAGCAAAAGAAGGTATCTTTTAAAAGTGTCTTTCAAATATGCAGTATCTCCAACATTCCAGATAAACTCTCTTCAAGCACTTGGTAGATGCCTGTAACTGACCTTTCCTGTTCAGCCAGTCTGCAAGCCCTTCAGGATCTCCCCTCCCTTCCCAGTTTGTCCCGGCTCTGCACCAGTAAAAGGGCTTTCTCAGAGTACAGTGCAAGTTGACGATAAAGACTGTCAGGACTAAAACTTTTTATCAGACTAGAATAATTGTACAGGGGCCTCTAAGTGCCATCCTCGATACAGACATCTTAAAGACCTTTCTAAAAGGTTACATAATGAAATGTTTGAGAACTGTTGTTTTAGTATAAGAGCTTCCTAAATATGAGATTAGCACATGTTAGTGCCTGTGACTTCATAAAGTCAGAGCCTCTAACTAAATGGTCCTGGGACTTACCCCGTTAACACAGTTTGTCCTGTCGTCACCTGTGATGGTATCTGTCCTTTACAGAGTTTTGCTCTGCTGTTATATTTCTGAAAATAAAGCATGTGTTCTCTATTAATTTGCTTGCATTTTCAGAATACATTAAGATGGCAGATCACTATGTGCCAGTGCCAGGAGGACCAAACAACAACAACTATGCAAATGTGGAATTAATTCTTGATATTGCAAAAAGGATTCCAGTACAAGTAAGAAATGCCAGTGTGTCCTTTCAAACCAGATTTAGCCATTTGACTGTTAGATGCAAGGGGCTATCCAGAGAAGAAGTTTAAATTTTATATAAAGCATCTTTGTTGAAAGTTTGATAAAAGCTTTTTTATACGGGATATAGCAGATTAGGAAAAGAAAGATGGAAAAAAATGAATGAGTCAAAAATAAACATAATACAAACAGAAGGTTTGTAACGGTCTTTCAGAGATTATTTATGTTATCCATTTTACCTTCAAACTATTTCAAGTAAGTAAAAGCTCCTGATTCCAATGGAATATTCTTACCTCAGAATATGGTGGTGTAGAAGCAGATTATTTCTTCCCTATTATATTGTGTTAGGAAATTTAGTGTAAATGTCCTTAAGCCCAGAGAGAAAAAAACTAGAGATTTATATGGCAGTATAACCACTAGATATAAATGTGGAGTTGGGTGACCAAAGTAACTGAATCTGTGAAAGAAAACCAATATTTCTAGAAAGGGCTCTATAGAGTCTAGTGGAAAGGCTATGAATTGAGTTTCCTAAAGAGCAGCAAGACTAGCTGGATCTTAATATCAACTTCAACTTGGTTTTTACCTCTTCAGAGGTTTTGCCACAATGGACTGCTTATTCTTGTTCTGTAAAAAGTTTGCCAAGAATCAAGCACAGAAGCTGAATTAAGCGTTCAGCTCTTGTGGAGTTATTGTACCTCATGGAGTAGGGTCAGTCTTGGTAGAGAGTAATACAGTTGATCATGTATTTTTTTAGTATGAATTTTAAGAACAAATCATATTATCTTCCCTTATAGGCAGTGTGGGCTGGCTGGGGTCATGCTTCTGAGAATCCCAAACTCCCAGAACTTCTTTTGAAAAATGGCATCGCCTTCATGGGTAAGGCTTTCTGACATACTCTTCCTGTCTTTCTGGTTCTCCCTGTCAGTTTTGCCTGTATTCCAATCTATATTCTGCTTTTCTTCTGTTTAACATGCACTGGGCTCTTATTTTTCCTCAATTAGCAACTCCCAGAGTAATCCTCTTCATTCCTTTTTCTTTTTTTTCTCTTCCTTATTTCTTTCATCCTACTTATCTTTCTTCATCTTGTCTTTTCTGTCCCCAGGTTCTTTTCCATGAGATATGGAGAAGGCTCTGATTTCTAAAACACTGGCCTTTTAAAACTTTGCCATTAATTTTAAGAAAATATATGGAGAAAGGACCTCTTTTTATATAGCAGAACTAATTGAGTATTAGGATACCCTAGCACTGTGCCCTTAAATATGAATCAGCACCTTCACATTTAACTATATAGGTTATATTCTTGCAAGTGAGTGCTGTTTCTTCTGACTTTCCTGCTCTCCCATAGCAGAGAGAGAAATCAAGAGTATATGGCTCAAAGTGTTTCTGTCTCTATCTCAGAGACCTTCCACAATGATGACTATGTTTTGTAAACCCTATTAAAGATAAATCTTCCTTTTGGATTCCCCTAAGACCAAGGAGGGCATATTTCAGACTTGAACCCCAAACTTTTTAGTCCTTATTTTAGGATTCGTTAAAAAGAAAAAAAAAAAAGACTTTGATAATCTGGTCAAGTTGGATCATGAACGATGATAAAATCAGTTAGATTTGTTAGGAATTTAATTCAGTATATATACTGAACTCTGTATGCTAAGAGCTTACTACATTTGGTTGAGTCATAACATAGTAATTCCCCTAATCAAGTTCATGATCTCCATGATATGTAATGTAGGGGGAGATAAGACAAATACAAAAATAATTATATAGAAGACAAAAATCTGTGTGACAGAAATGAGGCCAAAATGTTACAGTCAGGGTTCTTCTCTTGTTTTTAGGTCCTCCAAGCCAGGCCATGTGGGCTTTGGGGGATAAGATTGCATCTTCCATAGTGGCTCAAACTGCAGGTATCCCAACTCTTCCCTGGAGTGGCAGTGGTAAGAAAATATTTCTTGTTTGTATTTTGAAGTGCAGAAAAGCTCAGTAGGTATTTGGGACTGTGGCCTAGGTGTTAAGTTTATTTAAAATGTATTGGGTGATGGGCATTAAGGAGGGCATGTGATGTGATGAGCACTGGGTGTTATATGCAACTGATAAATTATTGACCACTACATCTGAAACTAATGATGTACTATTTTTTGGCTAATTGAATTTGTTAAAAAAGGAAAAAAATGTATTCGGATATGTGATAAGAAATAGAATCGAGGTTGATTTATGCTATCTTGTATTTCCTAGCTTAGTTAATACACCTGTGATTTTATCATGTCTTAGGAATATAAATTTTGTACCAGGTGCACAGATGCTAAACTCTGATTTAAGTGATCTAGGGACTTAATTTGAATTTGGAGAAACTCTAGGAAAACTCATATGGTTCTGTAGATTGGGATCTGCTCTGGGTAGGCTAGAATCTTTGTCAGAGATGGACTTTGGCGGAATTAGGCCTTTGAACCTGCCTGGCAGGTGACCTGGATCACTAAGAAAAACCTAAAAACCCACTTATTCACATATTTGCCTGCCAGTGTTTTCTTAATGTCAGCCCACTATCTATTGATGATTTGCTTTGCCTGTTCAATACCATTCAACCTCTCCTTTGCCCTTGATGCAGAAAATGAGGGCAATAGTCAATCTTTCTTCCAGGCATACAGAAGAATACAATTTTTCTTAAAATTATTTATACTTGACTAATCCCTTAAAGAGTGCTGTGTGAATCATTGTAGCTGATAACAATATGAACTTGCCTTTTTTAGTACTCCAGCACAGGGAGCAGACATACTGTAAAACCTTTTTTAAATGGGAATGACCATTGTCTTGAGGCTGAACAGATTTGAACTCTTGTTATTCTGGCTCTCCAGGGGGATTGCAATATCCTCTCCAGACCTGCTGGGTCAAACAGTTTAAAATAAAAGGTTGAATTTGTTCTTGTTTGAATGGAGAGACTATAGCATTCCCCTTGTGGCTGAGTACAGGGACATTCAGGGAACATGGAATCATGACTCTGCTGAGGCCTATAAAACCGCCATTTCCATTTCTAAGGGCTCATAAAGATTGAATTATTTCCCAGACCTCTGGCCCTGGTGCAGGCCTGAACACACAAATCGAAGGTATTTTGCCTGCTGAGTTGCTGTGAAAAGTCTGACTTTTTTTGTGTGTGTGTCTTGTATGTCCTTGCATTTTTATAAGTTTCCTCCCTATTAGCTCTCCTGACTTCTTCCAGGGTCAGAACCCGAGTTGCCAGCTCCTGCTAGAGCTAAATATCGTTAACCCCAAGGACTGATGAGGTTTTTATGCCATCGTTCTTTCTCACATTTACCCTCAATTTTGGATAAATATTAGAGCATTTTAAAGAAGGAATAGCAGAAAACTGACAAGAACAGAAGCTTTTTTAGCAGCTTTTAAGTCACTGTTATCTATTACAGGTCTTCGTGTGGACTGGCATGAAAATGATTTTTCAAAACGTATCTTAAATGTTCCCCAGGAATTATATGAAAAAGGTTATGTGAAGGATGTGGATGATGGGCTGAAGGTAGGTTACGAACTCTAGGGAGTGATGTCTTTCAACTGACCAGTTAGAGTCACAAACAAAGTAATTTGTAGCCTGGTTCATGATATACACCCATGATGGCATTGGGGTTGTAAGAACCGGAGATACAGTTTATAGAGTAAGGAAGTGACTTAGATTTAACAAAAATAATTTAAATTTGTTTTGAAGCAAGCTGCTCACCTGGACAGAACATTTCTTAGGTGGCTAAATCAGAGCTTTTAGGGAGTACCGATTCTGCTCTCTACCACCTGTTAGTGTGTGTATGAGGTGGCAGGGGTAGGGGATAGAGTGACACACAACACACATTTGCGCCTGCTTGAATTCAAAACTAAGAAGCCAGACAGACAGAGAAATGTCAGCTTTATTTCAAATGGAGATGTTGGTGAAAATGGCTTCAGTGTGTAAACTGAACGCCGGAGTTCAACATGCTTACTCGCTGGGTACTTGCGGTGCTGAGTAACCACAGACTTTCCTCTGCAGAGACAGAGCTTTTTACCATTCAGCTTCTTGTATCACTGAGAGCTGACTAAGAGCATATGTTCTGTGCAGTGGGCTGATTGCAAAGGGCAAGAGGCTGAGCTCTGCATGCTCAGTTCCTCCTTCCAAACTGACCAATCACACCATTCACTCTTTTTCCCTTGGGGAGGGGTGAGGGAGGGAGCCAAGAGAGGCTGAAGGTGTCTAATTACTGTCCATTCTTGTAGAAACAGGAACCCAAGCAAAAGGAGATCCTTTCTCCCAATAGTGCCTTTTCTTTCTTTTATAGTTCTCCCCATTTTGTTCCCCTTTCACTTTTTAAATAGTTGGAAGTGTCAGTTATGCTTCCAAGTAGATGATGAAAGAGGCTATTTTAGAAAAACACACTACTTGTGTTTGACTTTGTATGTTATAAATTCAAGAGGGATGCTGAAAGCTCAACTAATTTTGCTCTTTTGTTTGCATTTCAAGTTAAGCCTCTCGTAATCTCCTGAATAATTATTTCTAATTGAATTGCAAACACTATACTCTATTTGCTGTAACTTGCAAAAGAGTAGAAGCCCTTTGTAAGGAACTAGCTATTTTGCTTATCAGTTGAAATTCCTTTTTTTTTCCTGATCATAATTTTAAATGTAAAAATTTCTGGTAGAAAATTTGGAAGGCCAGAAAAGAGATAATGGTAAAACCACCCATAAACCCACCATCCAGAGATAGATACATGTTCATAACACATTCATACATCTTATTTCAGCCTTTTTTGATTCATAGTATATATTATTATCATGTAGTGATCATCTTTATTAATAGATTCTCATAATTATGATAAGTATAAAATTAGGGTCTTACTGTATATATATATATATATATACAGTAGTATATATACTGCTAGTATATATACTTAGTAATCCTAGTTTCTTTTCCTATTTTTTATTATGTATAGGCATTTTCCTCATGACATTAAAATTCTTCTAAAATATTCTAAAAAGGGGCATCTGGGTGGCTCAGTCGGTTGGGCATTTGCCTTCGGCTCAGGTCATGATCCTAGGGTCCTGGGATCAAGGCCTGCATCAGGCTTCCTGCTCAGTGGAGAGCCTGCTTCTCCCTCTCCCCCTGCTCGTGCTCTTCCTCTCTCTCTCTCTCTCACTCTTTCTCTCAAATAAATAAATAAAATCTTTAAAAAAAAAATTCTGAATGGATGACCTGTGCCTAGAGCCTTCATATCTTTTTACACAAGGCCTACCTTCTTACTGCCATCATGTGGACCACCCTATTTTTTTTTTTTTTAAAGATTTTATTTATTTATTTGACAGAGACACAGCGAGAGAGGGAACACAAGCAGGGGGAGTGGGAGAGGGAGAAGCAG